TGTTATTGATGAGCATGGATTTGCTAAATACCGGCGTCGTGCTACAAGTGTGACTTTTGAGGTTAATGGCACCCCCTTGGACAACCGGAATGTCGTGCCATATAATCGATATTTGCTATTGCGGTTTCAATGTCATATTAATGTCGAGTTCTGCAACAAATCAAGGTATGTATTCTTCTTGATGCCATGGTAGTTGACCTGGAGGTTTAGTACTATAAACGAGATAAAATACAATATTTGGCATGTTTCAATTTCCCATTAAATTTTTTAAAAAAGTAAAACAATTTTGTTCGGCTTTATTAAACATAGAACACTGAGTAGTGTTATTTATATTATATTTTTTTAGTTGCTAACTTTAATTTAGTAATATATAATTACATACTTCTACGCACATAGATGCCAATATATTTTGGAAGGGTGCTTGGTGTTGCATTTTATGTTTTGGGAGAATTGATATACCATTTATTACCTTTTTATTCTACTTTTATAGCAAAAAAAATACCTGTCATATTTCTTTAGATAATGTTTTATGGTACCTTTAATGTTTTTTTGAATATTCTTTTAATTTGTACCTATGAATAGTAAGTGAATTCTCATGCATTTGATTTTGACAGGGCTAAATATTTGTTCAAATATATTAATAAACCTGCCGATCGTGCTGCTGCGACTTTGGTCGATAATGACTTGCACAGTACTTCCCATGATGTGTCTGGAAGTTCATCTAATTCAGTGTGCGTTGATGAGATTAAAGCTTATATGGACTGTCGGTATATTACATCTGGAGAGGCATGTTGGAGGATTTTCAAATTTGATGTTTATAATCACTATCCTTTAGTTGTCCGAATGCCATTTCATCTTCCCGGTGAGAATATTGTTGTCTCTAAGGATAATTCGTCTATGGAAGATGTTATCGAAAATGAGGGTTCTTCTCTATCAATGTTGTTGGCATGGATGGAAATCAATAAGCTCTTTGAAGAAGCAGGCAATTACACGTATGCTGAATTCCCTCAATACTTTGTCTGGAATAAACAAGGTAAAATATGGCAGCGCCGAAAATCAAGGACGTGCATTGGGAGATTGTACTACTCCCACCCATCAAAAAAGGAAAGATTCTACTTGCGTATGCTGCTTCATGTTGTTAAGGGTTGTACTTCTTTTGAGGATATTAGAACTGTTAATGGTGTTCTTCACAAATCTTTTCAAGAAGCATGCTATGCCCGTGGATTACTAGCAGAAGACAATGAGTGGAATGATTGTATTAATGAGGTATCGACTTGGGCATCTGGTCATAAACTTCGAGAGCTTTTTGTGACTATTCTTATTAATTGTCCAGTATCAGATTGCAAAGCTTTTTGGGATAAAAATTGGACGTTGCTAAGTGATGATATACTTTATCATCGTCGAAAAGAATTGAAGATGCCTAATCTGCAGCTTAGTGATGATGAACTACATGATTTATGCTTAATGAAGATTGAGAAGTTGTTGCAAAGTCATTGGAAGTCTTTAGCTGACTTTCCTGGATTGCCAACCCCTTCAATTGGTTCTATGGCTAACACTTCAAATCGATTGCTTGCGGAAGAGCTTAATTACAATTGTGCTGAGCTTCAGTCTCAATTTTGTGTTATGTGTTCGCAACTCAATATTGAACAGAAGGCAGCATATGATGAGATTTTGGATTCAGTATATGGTGATAAGGGATGTTGTTTCTTTGTTGATGGGTTTGGTGGCACGGGCAAAACATTTTTATGGAAAGTAATTTGTTTGAAGTTACGATCTGAGGGTAAGATTGTGATATGTGTTGCCTCATCAGGTATTGCTGCATTATTAATGTCAGGTGGAAGAACAGCTCATTCAAGATTCAACATTCCTGTAGATATTCACTCCAAGTCAACATGTCATATTCAACAAGGTAGTGATTTGGCTGAATTACTTCAGAGGTGTTCTTTGATTATTTGGGATGAAGCTCCCATGTCCCATAAACACTGCGTTGAGGCTGTGGACAGAACTCTAAGGGATATTTTAATTCTGAAACTTTGCCTTTTGGTGGAATGACTGTTGTTATTGGAGGAGATTTTCGTCAAACATTGCCGGTCATAGTCAAAGGTACACGCTCCGAGGTTGTTAATTCTTCTATCAAGAAATCAAAACTGTGGCAATATTTCAGAGTGTTGAGGTTAAAGAAGAATATGCGTTTGGTGAGAGATGGTTGCTCAATTGATGAGGGTCGGGAGATTGCAGAGTTTAGCAAATGGATTCTTACTATAGGTGATGGTGAAGAGTCAAATGTTTTTGGTGAGTCCATCATTTATATTCCTAAGGAACTATCTGTTGAACGCAAGGTTGATCACATTTCAGACATTGTTGCTGAGGTCTACGGAGGGTTATCAACTCATTACTGTGAGTCAAGCTACTTTGATGGTCGTGCTATCTTAGCTCCTCATCATGACATGATTTCTGCATTAAACCATTATGTCCTTGAGCAATATCCTGGTGAAGTCATGACATATTTTAGTTCTGATTCTATTGATATGGATCCTGGGAACCAAAATGTCGTTTATTCTGATTACTCGACTGAATTTTTAAACTCATTGAAGATTGGAAACTTTCCTGAACATGAGTTGAAGCTTAAGTTGGGATGTCCAGTTATACTATTAAGGAACATTGACCAAAGTCGTGGATTATGTAATGGGACTAGACTAATTGTGAAGACATTGGGGACATGGTGCATCGAATTGGAGATTATTTCAGGATCACAGACTGGTGACAGGATTTTTTTTGCCAAGAATGACTTTAACCCACCCATATAAAAGTTTGAATTTCACATTAGTCCGCAGACAATACCCCATCGCTTTGTGCTTTGCAATGACGATAAATAAGAGCCAAGGTCAAACATTACAGAATGTGGGTTTATGTCTTCAAAAGCAAGTCTTCTCGTATGGTCAGTTATATGTTGCATTGTCCCGCGTTACAACAAAATCCGGAATCAAGATTTTGAGCTGCGATGTTGCTGGAGCTGAAGTGAGGAGTATGCAAAACATTGTTTATCGAGAGATTTTTGATTGACTTTTGAACTATTAGTAATTTGTATTTTTACTGGATAATTTTGTTGAGATCGTAGAGTTTTGCTATGTTATTATATTGATGTTGGTGGTCATTTATTTTCTATGTATATTCTGCAACAGGTTTAGACTTCTTTGTTTAGTATCAAACGGCTGTCCACAACTCAGCAACGGAATTTCCAATCAATAATTTTCCAATCATTACTTCATAACTCAGTCATTAGTTAAAAACTTCATTTCTTATTTTGGTTTGCAGATTAAGAGGTAGTGTTTTGAATTATGTTTCTTTCTCTTACTTACTAAATAATGATTCCCTTAGACAATCCATTGAAACAATAGCTGTAAAAATCCCAGTATTGTAGGAATTACAAAACTATCTTTCTCATTGACAGGAGACATTGTATGAGGTTGACATTGGATTTGGATATAGATTGGAAATTAATTAAAGTACAATCAGGCATTAGGGTCTTAGGATTTGGTGTTAGAACTGAACCTGTACTTGATTTTTATTTTTATTATATTTGAAGAACAAAGGAACAATTAAGTAGCATAATCTGCCGCTTTTGTTCTGCTTAACTAATTTTTATCTTATGAAATTTTATTTCACGGAGAAAACGAACTCAATTAGCATCAATAGGTACTCTTACCTCATAAAAACATCAATTATAGTGGTTTGACTTCAAACGCAGCTAACAAAGTAGAATGGAGCTAATCACTGCGCCCTCGACCCATTCGAGCACAACGCAATCTCCGAGTTTCCTGATTTCGTGTCCCACCCTGTTGAGATGCCGCCGTGGTCGCTTTTTTCCCACCGAGAAAGCCGAGCTCAACGGGCTGCAGAAGTCGGAAATCAAGTTCCTGGGTCAGATTCAAGGCCCCGAGATCTTGACCTTCGACCCTCTTGGCCGCGGGCCTTACACTGGTATCGCGGATGGCAGATTCGTGTTCTGGAATGGCGAGAAATTCGTTGATTTTGCTGACACTTCCAGCAATAGGTCAGTCAGAATATGAATTCAAATTGGGGGTTTTCTTAATTCTTGGGTCCTGGTCTTGTGGAAGGATTGTCCCTTTTTCTGGGTTCTTGGATCTTTTGGCCTGCCCTTTTGAAGGATTTGTAAAGGGTTTATGTTAGCTGAACTCCGATCAATTTGTTTCCAATTTGAATGTTTAGCTGTTTCAACTGTGTTTTATGGATGATGAACTTTTGACTTTGGTAGACTTAGTGATGTATTGGCTATGTTCTGGTCTGGATTTCAGGTCAGCAATATGTGACCCTAAGCCTTCCCTTTTGGGCTACTTGAAGAATGAGCACATCTGTGGCAGGCCATTGGGGATCCGTTTCGATAAGAAGACGGGTGATTTGTACATTGCAGATGCGTATTTCGCGATGATGAAGGTTGGCCCTGAAGGTGGAGTAGCAACATCAATTGCTACTGAGGCAGAAGGAGTTCCATTCAGGTTTACTAATGATCTAGATATTGATCAAGATGGCAGCATTTACTTCACTGATAGCAGTACTAAGTACCAGAGAAGGTAAACAATATGTCTTCACTTTTATATTTGTAAATAATGGTTTAGGTTAATAAAAAATTACTTTATGAGATTTTATAATATATTATGATATTATAGTTAAAAAAATGAATTTGATTAAATGGTAGCACAACCGCTTCTGATTTCCCCATTGTAATTGTGACTGTGATGATTTTTTTACTAAACTATTCAAGTTTAGAAAGCCAAAATTCCATTTATAAGGGAACTGGAGGCGTGGTTGGCAGTTAAGCCCCACTAACCCCTATTTTTAAGCTTCCATCTACCTCATTATCTTTCATCTATAAAAGCATCCTTCCCGTGAATATTTTTGCTCCTTGCCAACCCATCTCTATTGTTCTGATCAGAGTAAACAACTTGGCATTCCTTTTACGATAAGTTCTCCTCAAAGTCATGCCTCTTCGTGCATTAGTTGATTTGGGTATTGAAGATGTTGACTGTGGAGTGCATGTTAGAGTTCTACGAAAATGGAATGTGAAGAAAAGAGGCACCAAAGAAGATGTTTGTGTGAACATGATTATTGTTGATGCTTCGGTTCGTGTTGTGCTTCCTGCTTCATTTGTCCTTCTTCCTCTAATGATGCTGCCACTGATTGCATATTTGATTTTAATTTATGCAGGGATATCAAATGGAAATTGTTATTCATAAGATCTTGATCCCAAGGTTTGCTCCACTCATTAAGGAAGGCTGCGTGTACTATTTTGGTCAGTTCTTGGTTAATAGGAACACTGCTAGCTTCCGTGTAACTGCACCGAAGTTTTGCATCGTGCTCCTCCCTGATTCGGTCTGTGAAGAATTGGTGGATTGTGCTGACATTCCAAAGTTCAGCTTTCGTTTTCTGGAAACAGGCGGTTTTGAGGATGCATTTGAGGACCAAGACTTCTTATTTGGTTTCTAATTTTCCGTTGCTTGATCTTATCATTGTTTAAGTTTGTTTTCTACTTTTGATTCAATTAGTGATTTCCCTTCCTTTGATACAGATTTAGCTGGAAAAATGGTGCAATGTGCGGCTACAGAAATTCTAAGTGATGAGATGGCTTCTATCAAGAAGAAGAATGTCCAAATTCGCCTAATTGAGTACGATTTCGGTCTGATTTTCATAACCACTTGATTTTGTGTTGTCGCCCCAAAATATTGATCGTTGTGTATATTTTGTTTCGGTAGTGGTGAAATTGTTAAGGTCATTCTGTGGGACTCATTGGTCGACCAGCTTGAGAATTTCCTTTCCACTGAATCTGAAATTGGGGCAGTGCTCACAATCACTTCTGTTTATGTGCATAAGTACCATGGTTAGTTGGCTTACAGTTTAATAATAATCGGCAAAATGACTTCAAACATTTTTGTCAAAATACTAATGCTGTTTACTTGCAGGAGAGTACTTTTTTTCCTCCTCATGTGCCTCTAAGATGTTCTGCAATCTGCACTATCCTCCTGGCCATGCTTTGCTCGATTTGTATGCCTCATCTCTTTATGAGTTTTATTTATTTTCCTTAACATGATGATCGAACTTCATTGCTTTTCATATTGGACTGAATTTGCAGCAGTGGTGGTAGTGGTGTTCCTCGCAGTGATGGTGAAATCTGCCAGAGTCTCATTGTTCCATGTTCTGTCAAATCGATGGAAGCTTTGAATGCTGCTGGTCCCATTAAGGTATAGGAAAAATATATTTTCCCTTATTTACTTATGACCATTTCTGAATCTGTGATGAAATTTGCTTAACCTGAATCAATTTTTCAATCTTTTTCAGGGACTGACTTTCAAAATAGAAGCAGAGGTCACAGAAGTGAATGCTCATTGGTCTGATCGACAAGGTGCCTTTATAGTGCAGCTGCTGGTGAAAGATGGAAATGATGGTTGCGCTTTAATCTTCAAAAGCAATGCTTTCTGGTCAATCACAGACTCAATTTTTGAGAGTGCGGCTCAGTTTCAGAGGTCAAGTTTCGAGGTCAACCTGAAGTCCTTCAGGGGAAAGATGTTTCAGTTCCTGGTGAAAGCTGTGCCTCACTTTTATAAACCTGGAGCAGTGCATTTTGAGGTTGTGAAAATCTTCAGTGGCTGAAAGAAGAACAAGAAATTTGTTCCATTCCTATTGTAAATAGTCATGTTTTCTGTCCTTTTTCTTGGTATGGTCATGCTTCATGTCTAAGAACAGTTAGTTTGAGATGGTAACTATTGCTCATTTCAGTGTTTTGGTGAGTCGATGTTGACTGTCTCTTGGACATAATTTCAGTTTCATTTAGAGTTGGATTTGGTTTGGATAGTGAACCTGTGTTGGTCATTATTCTACACTTTTCTTCGAGTCCATACCTGGTGTTTTACACTTCTCTACTTTCTTTTCTATGATTGTAGCTAATTGTTGGCCTTTGTTTGGTCTCAGTCGTGTTATTATAAAACCCAATCATTTGGGAAAATTGATCAGGCCCGCTTAGTTGTTTATGACATTGTCATGGCTGTCTTAACTCCCAGCCCAATCAAAATAAGGCCCAAGGTAATAGAGCCGTACATGTATACCTGACTCTGGAATAAATTTTAAAATATTCCAGGAAGCTTCGAACAATTTGATGGTGAGCCTGAAATTGGCAGCTCATTTAATTTTGTCAAGATCAAATCTTTGCTGAAATAAATTGATCCACAAGAACTGAAGGCCAAGTTTTTAATTAGAGAAGAATTGATTCTGTTTTCAGCCCATACCTTAGAGATTTGTCTTTGTTTGATTTCAAAATAGCAACAATTTGGGCCTGATTGAGCCCGTCTCAAACTTGAGTCCAATTGGATTTTCCCTGTTTATGTTTTGTAACAATCACTGCTAGGGTTTTTTGTCTGTCTCCACCTCCATCTGATTTGGTGTCGGCAGCCTTAGCTTTAAGATTTTTTCCTCAATTCCATTATACACCAAACTATGGCGGCTACTACCGCCCCAAATATTTTGCCAGTGAAGCTAGCAACTTAGGCCGCGTCGTATCCATTGCTGCAACCACTTTGAGTCTCTGATTCCGTTAAATTTCTCAGTGTTTGGTTCAAATGGGGGGTGGAATTTCAATTAGTTCCATAGTTATCTCATTCCTCGACAATATTATGTTTACCAATCAGCCATTTCGCGCGGTCTTTGTGCCGGTCATCTTGAAGCCATGGGTATCCTTTTATCGCCTGCCCGCTAGAAGCACCAGCCGCATCAGGAGGTGCAGTTTCCGATTTGTAGGTGTCGGGATCGTGCGCCTTGTGGTTATCGGATATTCAAGCTGCACATCCAAGGTTTTTGGTCAGCAAGCGACGTGGGTAAACAGGTATTTATCTAAATCAACTGTCGCATTTGATTGCACTCTACTATCCTGGTGGAGGGCAGTTATTAGCTTAGTCCAAAATAACACGATCTGTTAAACTACCACCAGGACATCCTTGATGTGCCGACTAACATGGGTCTTGTGGTTACTTTGCTTGGATTCTATAAATACTTCCGTTCTGCGACTACATATTGGTTTCGGACGTACACTCTTATCAGTAAGCAAAACAGGATGGCGCCGCAGCTATTGAAGGATTTATCAACTCATTCACGAAAATGGATCATTCAATGCTGTGTCTCCCGGAAGTGGATCGCAACTAACTGCAACACAGGAAAAGTTCTGCATTTGGACATGGTGCTCATCGATTCCGAGGTAATCTTCTAACTTTGCTTAGAAAGCGAATTGTCAATGTTATTAAGACTGGGACTTACTTTTGTTTGATTACATATTAGGGATCAGACATTTGGGCAATGGTTCCTCCTCTGTTGATTCCAAAATTTGAATCCAGTCTGATAGAACAAGAAGTGTATGAGATTAGGCATTTCAAGGTTGCTATGACAAAGAACACATTTAGGCCTGTTCCTAATCGTCTGATGATTGAGTTTGATGCTGCCACTTTAGTCCAGCATATCAAAACAGTGTCCCCAATACTTCCTTATAAGTTCTACTTTCTCAATCATGCTGCTATGATGAAAAGGCTGTATGATAAGAAGAACCTTTCAGGTAGAGTGTTCCTTTTGTTGTTCTTCATTACCAATCCCTTTGCAGTGTGATATTAACAGAAACTTTTTGCTGCAGATGCAGTTGGTCAATTGATTGACCATTCCAGCCTAACTTCAAGAACCTCTGCTACCAAACACTGGAAGGAGATCACAATAAAACTCATTGAGTTAGATCTAAAAGCCTCCATTTGCAATTTTATTTCATTTTGGATTGTTAAACTAATCCATGGCTTTTTTTCTTTCCTTTGATCCTTGGTAATGTTGATGTTAGAGGGGAGATGGTGAAAGTCACTTTGTGGGGAAGTATTGGCAAGCAATTAGAAGACATCATCACTCACAATGAAAGGAAAGCTGTCATTCTGACTATTACCTCTGTGTTTGTAGATGAATTTAAAGGTTCTGCACACACAAGCTTATTTAGTTCGTTGTGAGTTACAAGTCTGAAATTGATGCTAACTGACTTATTTGTCTTTTTTTTTCTCTACAAGGGGAAATCTGTTTGTCATCAACCGGAGCAACTCAGTTGAAGGCGAACTTGGATATTCCAGAAGTGCTTGAGTTTAAGGAAAAGTATGTATGGTATCCTGTACTTGAGTGCATTTAGCTGCAGTTTACTTCGGCTTCCCATTAAGTCCAATTATTGTGAAAATGCAAGAATGAACTTCTGTTATTTTTCTTCTGTTATTTTTCTTCTGATTTCTTGAAATCCTCCTATTTGTAGTTAGTTTATTGAGTGAATCTAGGGTCTGCACAGTTGCTTCATAAACCAAATTATGGATCTGCTTCTTCTTTTGTTTCTAGGGACGAAAATCTTACTGCCCCAGTTCTGCTTGCTGAAGTCCCAGCTACCGAGGTTCCAAAAATTTCACTAGCTCAACTAAATGATTTCAAAAGCAATGAAGCCCAGAGTGTATGTTTTTTTTTTGGAAGTATTTTCATTTCAGCACCTTCTGTTTGTACCTGAACTAAGTTTTTGTTGCTGTTTTGAATGCATTTCAGGACAAACTATTTTCGGTTGAAGGAAAGGTAACTCAAGTGCGTCCTAATTGGTGTTACATGGGTTGTGTTGCATGCCCGCGGAAGGTGGAGGAGGATCTGGAGGAGTATTTTTGTGGTCACTGCAAGACAACATCGTCCATTGCTAAAGCAAAGTAAGATGGTCAACTATTTTTCTTGCTTTGTACATTCTCCTTTCTAGACGATTTGTTTTCTGACTTTGATATCAAAGTAATATGTTACACCAAAAGTATGATGAGGTATGGGGATGTAGGATTTTGTTAATCTTTTTTCCATGATCAATGTAGGTATAGAGTTAAATTCCAGCTGGAAGATAACACTGGAGAGGCTGATTTTGCCATCCTGGAGCATGAAGGACTGCGCTTTTTTGGAGTAATGGCTGATGAGTTGTTCCAAACAAATCAGAGGAGCAAAGAACCTCTTCCGCCGCAGATTCATCAGATTGTCAATATGACACTGAAGCTAACTGTTAAACTAACTCAGTTTAACATCATGAACCCTCAAACTGAGATCTCTGTGGTCAGCATTGACCATGATCCTCTTCAGGTAACTAAACCCCCAGCTCCAGATAAGTTTGCTTTTGTTACAGCCTACCAAATTAAGTTTATAGCTTTAACCTACCTTATTATGTCTACCACATAACTTGCAGCAACTCAATAAGGATCCGTGTTCAAAGGACCTTGGAGGAGCAACCTCAATTGAACAGAAAATGGAAGCTGCTCTTGATTGTGAGGTTGAGGATGAGAAGTAGTGTTGTTGCAGCCTTGCTCCACCTAATAACTACTATATCAAGCATTTTGTTTAGAAATATTGGTTAGTCTATGGGCTATTAATTCATAGCTTTTTAATCCGATCCCTATTGAAACTGAGGTTATAGGTTATTTCTCTTATGCATTTTCCTCTTATGTTCAGTATGAATTGCGAACAATATTATTGTTTTTTGCCTTCAATGTTTTGCTATTCATTGGACAGTTTTATCTCTATGGATTCTCTTTTTTTTTAATCAATTTTGCTACATAACTGTCAAAACCAGCTGAACTTTATTTGAGTGAGTTTCAGCTATTGACTGGGATTAGTGGTTTTGTAAGATAAACAGGTTGTTTGTGTCATTTGTGAGTTCTTCCTGTCAAAGTTTGCTGCATTGTTAATCTTTCTGGTTGCTTCTCTTTGCTGTCATTTCTTTTTATTGATTCTGTTTGTTGTATTTTCCTGAGTATCAGATTGTGTTTGTTGTCCAATTTTGCATTGATTTTGAATGCTGCAATATTCTGATCTCTGATTGTGTTTGCTGCACTTTTTTCTGATAATCTGATTGTGTTTGTTGTCCATTTTGTGATTGATTATTTTTGCTGCATTATTCTGCTTTTTGCATAGTGTTTGCTCCATTTTCAGATTCCTGATGTTGTTTGTTGTCCAGTTTTTTGATAATTTTCTTTGCTGCATTATTCTGTTTAATTATTGAAGTGAGTTTGCTCCGCACTTGCTAGCTCTATGTAGAGTTGAATTGTTACTCTAATTGTAGTTGAACCATTACAAAGTCTTAATTAGGCTGTATAATGCTATGTATCTGTTTGGCTTTTTCATGTTGACATTGAATTTTATTCATCAAGATTTTGGATCAAATGAATCTTAGTGGCAGATTTTACTTTTCGGATTTCATTGTGTTCCTCAATATTCAAAAACAAACCCGGCCAACGGGCCGGGCCCAATGCTAGTATATAATAAATTACAGACTTAATTTTCTTATGTGTGAAGTATAAACTTTTTTTTAACACAAATATATATGAATTAAGGTTCATGGCAAAATGTTGCAAGCGTTGCCAATCAATAATCCTTATATATTTCCATGTGCAAAATCTAGACAAGACACTAATGTTATAAACAACAGATCATGAGAGATGAGAATCGGACTTAATAATAAATGAAAGGAAACGTTGGTGCATCAAATTGAAGGGATTTTCCCTCCCTAGATTTTCATTTTGATAGGGACAAATTGTAGAGGGAGCAAAATGAGGGGAACGAAAAGTGGGGAGAGATTCATTAGAGAAGTGAAAAGTTGTGATGAAAATATCAAAAGAAGGAGGAAAATTTCCCCACCTAAATGAAAAATATGGTGGGAAAATTAGCAAGCGAGATTAAGTTTCACACCTAAATGTAAAATAATATTCATTTGAGATAGAATAACTCATTACATGTTCTCAAATATACTATATTAAATTAGTCAAACCCTATAAGACTATATTAGGTTTTTTTTTTTTGCCCGAGTAATATCAGAAAGAAAGTTAGAACAAACACTACCCAAACGCCCTCCCCACCTGCTAACAAACCAACCTACAAAGTCAAAAGAAGCTAACTCTAGCCGAGACAGCAACAGGGCTTTACGCGCCACTCTATGGGCAGCCCAGTTGGCAGTCCGCGGAACCGCCCTAAATTCTATACAAAGAGACAAAGATCCAAGGAAACTCCTACAATCTCTAAGAATGGGGCCACCCACGGAATCCTCCACTGCACCAAGGCTAAGCTGACGGATGACCACAGCCGCATCTCCCTCAATGATGACACGAGGCAGATTTCTAGACGCTGCAAGAGAGATCGCATCCCTTGCTGCAAGGAGCTCTGCAAGGTACGGGTCTGAAATCCCTGGATGCTGGAAACCTGAGGCAAGCAGAACATGACCGTCCGAGCCACGAACCACAAGACCAGACAGACTATATTAGGTTTGCTATAGACAATATTTTAATTAATAAATGTTAGACTATTAAATCATCATATGTAAATATTATGACAATCATATTGATAATTACTTAAACTACCACACCATCATATGTAACATTGTGATCAACTTTTTTTCTTCTGTCTCTTCAATTGTTTTTTTGAAAACACTAAATTTCCCCTTTATTTTTCTTTCCATAAATAAAATTTCCTATATCTTTCTCTTCCTACAAATCAAAAGTACCAAAACTATCTCTTATTTCTTTTCCCAAAACTTGAACCTCCCCCCCCCCCCCCCCCAAAAGTTGAGAACACAAAAAATTTTCACTTTTTTCCTCTAAGCAAAACACCAAAACTCTCTCTTTTCCCAAAAATTTATTAAACAACAAATTTCTCTCTTATTTTTATTTCCAAAAAGTTGAAAACTCAAAATTTTCCACTTCTTTCTCTTTCCATAAATGTTAAATCAAAAGCACCACAATTTCTCCTTCTTTTTTTACTAGCTTGTGCCCGGCCCGTTGCCCTGAAAATTTGTACATAGAAATTTTTTCAAATGCAATGAATCCAAAGTCGTTATTAATTACAGATTGTGCAAAACTTTAGTTCCAGATCGGTGATACGATGATATGACTGGGAGTTTTGCATGATGGGATTTTGTACCCGAACCCAAGTCGTTATTAATTACAGGTTGTGCAAAACTACATCCGTGATAGCCGATACTCCTAATTAAATAAAATTCCAAAGAATAATTTTTATTTTCATATTTCTATTCAAATAAGCACGCTAACACTATTTGTAGGGGTGACAATCGGTCGGTAATCGGTCAAACTAGTAAACGATAAGCCGAGCATTGAGGGGGGGGGGGTGGGAATCGAATACCGTTACCGGTTTATTGGTTACCGAATTTCCGATAAAAGGTTACAAAACGATTTACGGTGAGTAGGGCTGTAGATGGTTTTCGGTTCGATTTACTGAAAAATTACCGAAACGAAATTCTGGACAGTGGGGGCAGGTTGTAAAATTTTAATTTTTCTGGGTTTTTTTCTTCTTATTTGTAATTAATAATTTATTATTAACTCTTATTTATAATATTTTTGAGGCCTATACTTACTTCCATTAATGTATATAATATTTGTGAATAATGGAATATATGTTATATGTTAACTCTTATACTGGTCCCCGATATCGGTATTACCGACTAACCGTCAGTATTTACCGTAACTGGGGCCGGTAAACCAAACTTCCCCATTTCACACTCGACAACTGATACCGCCAGTAATCGGTTTACCGTTTATCGCCGGTTACCGATTCGGTAAAACGATAAACTGATTACCGACTTACCGTTTGTCACCCCTAACTATTTGTAATGGCCAATTTATAAATGTGGAGACATGAGCACATCAGTCTAACTACTAATAAATCACACAGTAGTCTAATTATGCCAAAATAAGTAAATGGGAATATGTTACAAAGTTTTGTCAGTGCTTAGATTGAAAGCTTATGGAGCATGAACTGGCACCGCTCTTAACCGGAATGATAAACAAAAACTTCACAAAAGCAGGATCATAGCTAGAAGGAGTATCCAATTTCTGTTGCAGGCGCTCTGCTGCTGATTTAGATGTCCGTAGTGAATCAAACGCGTCCAAGCTGTCTATTCTTAGTTCCCAATATTTCCTTTGCCCCCTCATGCTTTGGAGCATGCTATTATTAATCCAGACCAGGCTATGGAGTCTCTCCCGGAAAGCCCGTTAATGTGAAGGAGTGAGTGTTTTATTTTCCCTAGTATTGCATACAAATCAGTTTGAGTGCAGACCTTCAATCCACTAATTCCATGTACAGGACGTATAAAAACCATCAGAATGATAGATGCAAGAAATGAATTTGAGAGATTGGATAAGTAGACCATTGCACACATACCAAAAAACCATAGCATTGCAGGTGGCAAACTCAAAGAATCAGACTCATTAATGCGGTAATAACTTTCAAACCATATAATGGCTACTTGTAAAGCACTGGAATTTGACAGCATCTAAACCACTGCATAAAGTATACAACCTGAAAGCTCTACCTTAACGCATGACACTGTATTTGGTTTCCAGTGGCACGTAACTAAACATGAGCACTGTATATTGTGACAATAATTGGAAGGTGAACTCATCAAGTTTAAGGACTTCCTTATGCCTCTTACACACAGACTCAAGATTCAAGAAGCTCAACAACCAATCACGAAAGAGCATTAACAAAAAATTCATCAAAGTGCTGCTAACCAAAGTTATGATAATTCTCCACATTATGGTAAACATATGGGGCATGCATGATGTGGCCAAATAAAACAACAATGTCATATGGGGTTTTGCATCACAGTTGATACTATATCATTTACCATTACCAAAGGATATATGGAAAACAACATTATGCATACTGTGCAATTCACAAACCATGAGAATCCGAATAATTAAAAACTAACTATTTGGAAGTTGGACTCCTATGGGAGTTAGAAAACAAAATCAAATGTTGCTTCTAGTCACACACAGGTAGCCGACCAACTTTATTCAAATGAAGAAGAGGAGATGGAAATTTCAAGCTACTCACCTACACGCTGCTGAAATCCAATTGAAGGAGAGAGTAACCAAAAGTTAGATGCTCCTGGATGCACAATCCAATTGCGGCAATCCCTCTGCTACTCAGCCGTTCGAGACGTCGTCTTCAACGTCGATGTTGGACACGCCGGCCTTAGTCCGGACTCAATTCTCCGGCGTGTGGACCTCCTGTCGTCTATGGCAATCCCTCTTCTACTCAGCCATTCGAGACGTGGTTCTCAACGACGTTGGACACGCATGCCTCAAATCCGGTGTAAACTCCAGCGTGTGGAACTCTTGCCGTGATTTGGTGTAGAGGAGCTCCGGGGAAAAGAGCTGACGACCGAACCTAGAATTGCACTAATTCCCTGCTCGTAGCGGCTAACCGGCTGGTCTAACCGTTAACCGTCGGTTAAAGGCTAACCGGAAAACCGAAAAAATGAAGGGGCGGTCGGTTGTCGGGGGGGGGGGGGGGGGGGGGGTGTTACTGGTTAGGAGGTTAGCTGGAAAATCGACGTCGGTTAACCGGCTAACCGACCGAGCAAAACGACGTCATTTTGCTTAATGGAATACACTCCAATTCCTCCCCCCCCCCACCCAACCCTAGCACTTCATGTTCCTGGCCTTCGTTCTCTTCTCCCTCAATCCCTCAGACCCTCCCAGCCGCCTCGCCTCCACCCTACCACCCTGACGAACTCCTTTTCCCCGCAACTCCGTTCCACCCGCCGCGCCGCCCGTCACCTGCCTCGCCGCCGCTTCGCCCGTCACCTGCTGCGCCTCCTGCCCTTCACCGTGCTGCCCGTCACCCGCCGCGACGAAGACTCCCCTCCCCTGCGCCCCGCCGCCTCCACAGTCCCAACGCGCCGCCTGCCCGTCAGGCCGTCACCAATCGCCCGACGCCCGTCACTGCGCCGCCCTCTCGGGAGAAGCTCGTCGGCGCCAGGCAGAATCAGCAGAATAAGGAAAGAGAGAAGCTCGCCGCTCGGAAGTAGAATCAGCACTCAGCAGGCAGCCGTCGGTGACGGTCGGTCTTGGGTATCTTTGTTTGGAATTCCAGAAGATAATCGGTTAGACTACTATGAGCCTGAGTACGTAAATGGCTCGCTTAGAATTCCAAGGGAGGTGGTCGAGGAAGGATCGAATCGTTGGGAGAACAGCTTGGTTGGTCAATTCATCGATCGTCCAGCTTCACTGTCTACAATCCGGTATTGGGCGAACTGGCTCTGGGGTAAGGATGGTGAAGTGCGAGTCTCTGGGCTGGGGCGTAGACTGGTGCTATTCCAATTTGTGAATGATGAGATTTGTCAGTGGGTGTTTGAGAATAGTCCTTGGCACCATAGAGAAAACTTGCTTTTCTTTAGGGATGGCAAAAATATCCGTAACCGTGGATATCCGCCCGAATCCGGCCTAATCGGGTAGGGTAAAACCCAAACCGAAGGACATTTAGTGGGTACGGGTAAAACCCGAACCCGAATATTGCGGGTAATGGGTGGGCATGGGTTTCTCAGTATCCAACCCGAACCCGCCCGATTATACACATACATATGTATTTTTTCTAGAAATAGTCATTATTTTTCTCTAACATATTTTATATTTAGCATATAAATATAATATTTTCATGAAATTGTGTTGTTTTAATTAATTTTCTTCATTCTAGTGAATTATTGTCATACTTTTCCTCTTCCGTAATGTGAGAATAGGTGTGAATGTTAACATATTAGTTGGAGTTATGAAGAGAAATCATTACCCATGGATAACCGTGGATACCCGAAACCCGAACAGGTATGGGCATGGTTTTAATTTTCTACCCATTTTATATGTGGGTATGGGTATGGGTAAAACCCGAACTACTTTGGATAGGGTAACGGATATGCACTATCAGTCCCCGACCCGACCCATTGCCATCCCTACTTTTCATCCACAAGTGGGAGGCGGGAATCAGTCTGTTGAAACTTGGTAACTCAGCTCTCCCGATTTGGATCAAGTTGTCTCATCTGCCGACGGAACTTACATCTAAAGAGTGTCTGGTAAGGGTTGCAAGTTCTTTGGGGAGACCGCTCTGTATGGATAAGTCAACCACTCAGTGAAGGAAAATGGGTTTTGCTCAAATATGTGTCGAGGTAAAGGCAGCAGCGAAGAAGGTAACTAAACCGAGTGTTACACCAGATGGGTTGTCTGAATTTTTTGTTGATGTGTAATAATGCCATATGCCTAGGGGCTAGGGTTTGTGAGAAGTGTAATTGTTTTGGGCATACATGTGCCAAAATACCTGATCTTGTTGCAAAGGTTTGGGTGAAGAAGACTCCAGTAATTGGTTAGATTCTAGATGGGTTGGAAGGTGCTGTGCACATGGATGTGGTTCAGTCTGCAAATGGAAATAAAGTAGGACACTCAGAAGTGGGGGAAGAGGTTGGTTCTGAGAAGGGTAAAGAGGTAGAGATTTCCCCTGAAGAAGTTGTTGTAGGCAGGGTTGTAGAGCAGTCGTCTGTGCTGTTAAAAACCCCATCTCCTCGACGTGGTATTGTGGACTCTGAGGGGTTCACTCTGGTTGTGAGTAGAAAGCAGAAGGTTTGGGTAGGATCAGGGTCTAATAGCCTAGGGAAGCAGTCCAATCCTAGCCAGTCGATGAACAGAATTGCTCGTGTTGTTGGTATCCCTCCTCCACCTCCTCCAAAAGGAAGAGGGGAGAGGGAAGAAACGGGGTAAATGAAGATTCTCGGCTGGAATATCAGAGGATTTAACGACCCTGATAAACACTCAGCTATTCTTGAACAGTTGAGGAGGAATCAGATAGATATAGTAGGCCTATTAGAAACAAGGGCGAAAGAAGAAAATAGCAATAAAATTACAACATGTGTGTTCTCTGCCTGGAAACACTTAGCTAACTATTCGAATCTCAGTCTGGAAGGGTGTGGGTGTTCTGGAAGGAAGGTTTGAAGGTATCTCGTATTGAGGAAGGGGAGAACTATATTCAGATATTGGTTGAAGAGGGTGAGCCGTTTATGGTTGTGTTTGTTTACAGTCCCAACAAAGAAGCTGAAAGGAAAGTGATCTATCAGGAGCTTATGTTTATGAAGGATAATAGCATCCCAATGGTGCTGTTAGGAGGCTTTAATGCAATTGCTGAAGTGAATGAAGCATCAAATGGGCAACAAATTACTCCTAGTATGCAGGATTTTAGAAGCTGGTTGAGAAATATGGAGTTGATGGATCATAAGGTAGCAGGGGCATGGTTTACTTGGTGTAATCGCCAGGCAAATAATCCTATTGCTAGAAGGATTGACAGAATTGTTATAAATGAAGCTTGGTTAGGAAAATTCCCAGATAGCTTTGCCTATACTAAACCCCCTAGGGTTTTTGACCATTGTGGGTTGATTCTTAATACTTTTTCCAACTTGAGCACTCTCCCAAAGCCTTTCAAGTACTTTACTTGCTGGCAATCTCATCCTTCTTATCTGGACTATAGACACCACATTTTGTCCGGGGTAATCGTTCTACTAAAAAAACAACTCGATGTAACATTGCTTAACAATTATATTTGGAAAGATAACTTGAAGTGAATTGGTTGAGACTAGCAGTAGCAAGTCGATATGAACCAATGATTATCAATTATTGTTCTACGCATTGAGATTAGGAATTTAGTATGCTTCCTGTTTTGGATGTTGATACAAATTACAATATATAGAGCACGAATCAGTAAAGACTAAAATAAACTTTGCTAATTGATTTCTTACATCGTAATTTGCATCGACATGGAAGGAAAATGTAATTACATGGGCCATTACAAATTCTACATATACAAAGAAAGACTAGTTCTTTTCTTCAGCCCTTCATTTTAGGCCCAGCACTGGAGACCTACAACATAAAAGAAAACCAGTCAGATCAAGGCCTGGTTCCAAGCCCAGAGCTCGGCCCAACAAACATCCAAGCCCAAACGAAGGCCAAGTGGGCCCAAAATACAGGCCCACAACTCTGCCATTTCAGCTTAAAACTGTGTGCCAACTACCAACCCTATCCTGACCAGACAGAACCGACCAACTGTGTTGGAGTCCTCACAGTGGGCCTCAAAATCGACCAATGAAGAAAAGACACGTGGGACAGCTTTTTTTGCTATAAATGAGCTCTTGGGGCTCTTTGTTTTAGGGGGGAACATACACATAACAAAGTGATCGTTTTTTTTTTTGTTCTTGCCCTTAGCCGAAGTTCAGTGGGGAAACTGTGAAATTGAAGGAGCAGATTTGAAGATCGTTGTATGGAAAGGCCATTCTTAGGCCTTGATCCAGGTTGGTACTTGTATCAACTTCATTTTATCAAATTTATACAATCGTCATGACGTTATACAATCATCCATCTATTTGCATATTTATACTCTTTGAGTATTTTCTAATACAAGCTATGTGATGGTCAAATATTATTTACTCAGATCTGCTCTTATCAATTTCATTAAGCTCTATCATCAAAGTTTTTTTTCCTTCCCATATTAATAGTTTTGGCTATGAGATTATTATTATGCCGATTAACTTAACTATGACTAGAGTTGGATATTTTGTTTTAAACTATTTTTGCCATGTTTAGATTTTCCTCATTCGTGGCCATACATACATATACATGTACAAATTAAAGTAAAACTAGATATAGCACATATTTTTTTTATAACAATCAAAACAAACTTTTTCGAAGTCCTTGGATCAACTTAGATCCAAATCCAAATCACTCAAACACAATAAATTTTAGAATTTGAAACCCATACCAATTTCGCAAAATCAAAGGCAGTGGCGGTGATTTATAATAGCCAAAATAAGCAATTTAGTCTATGTTAATTAGATTAAAAATCATTTTAGCAACTTCTAATATACCAAAATTGCATCCGAATCCATTCATCAAACCCGTCAAAACACCAAAATCCCATTTTTTTCAAAACTCATTCACAAAACCTACTTTCTAATACTCAGATATGCTAATCAATCCCAAGTCAACAATAATAGTCCATTTACTTAGTTAACTCATCCCAAGTCATACCCAAACCGAAGTTAGAAGTGACTTACCCAGATCTGGGCTCTCTTTCAAACCTTCCAAAAAAAAGAACGAATTAGATTAAGTTTCTTTTGTTAATAATAAAAATGATAGATTAACATAAATTAAGGAGTCGAAATCCTACCTTCCTTTTTTTTAGACGAAGATCGTCGTCGGCAGGGTCTCGCCGACGACCAAAAACAAAATAAAAAAAAAATTTAGGGCAAAATACACTTGTATAGCCATAACTTTCACACTTTTGACAAATATAGCCATTTCTATTCGAAAACCACAAATAACCCAAAAAACTGAGGGTAGTGTGACAAATCTAGCCAAATCCGTTAGAAACTTTAACACCGTCTGAGACTCCGTTAAATCGTTTGACGGATTGCTGACCAGGACGAAAACCGACCTACACATCATTGACACATCAGCAAAACTTACACGTGGATTGCCACGTAAATAATTAAAAAAAAACATTATATAAGTTTACTTCCCTTTCTCCTTCTTCCCTGTCCCCGAAATTCAAAATTTCAGTTTCTAATTAGGGTTTGCACTTGGTGGAGACGACAGCGCCGCTGGAGACCGCGACCCCCTCCGCCGCTGGAGACCGCGACGCCGCCGCTGGAGACCGCCGCCGACTTCATTCATCTTTTTCTTCTTCTTCCTCCATCTTCCTCCATCTCTTTTTCTCCTTCTTCCTCCATCTTTTTTCTGCTCGCGCCTCTGCCTCTGCTCGCGCCTCTTCCTCTGCTCGCGATGTCTCAGCGGGGCTCTTCCTCGGCGACCAACGTCAGCAGGTCTGGGACGGTGCTTTGCAAGCACAACGTTCCCGCCGTGATTAAGACGTCGGGTACCGAGTATAACCCAGGCAGGAAATTTTACGGATGTCCTTATTGGAAGCAGGTAAGGATAGATTGATTCTCGAGTTATTTGATGTTTGCTTTGATGTTTGATTTTCTAACTAAACCATCTGGATAGTGCAGAATGAGAGTGAAAATCTAGGGAAGAAAAATTGTCGGTTCTTTAGGTGGGTTGAGATGGTTGGCGATGAAATGGTTGGGGATGAAATGGAGGATCGAAAGGGTTCTATGGAGAGCCTAATTTGCCAACTTGAGCACAGTTTGCTCATCGCTGAGTCTAAGGCAGAGAGGAGGAAGCAGGAGAAAAAGAGACTATCTCAAGATATGATTGTGTGGATGAAAGATCGTGAGACTATGTTAGCCCATGGAAGGAGATTGAATCATGATGTTCAAATTATTCGTATTATGTTAACAATTCTTCTTGTTGTGAATGCCTCTTTCCTTCTTGTTTTGTGGGGATACAGATCTGGTATGTAATGGTTGTCTAATGTAATGGTTGTCTAATTCAATGGTTTTCTTTCCTGTCTAATGATAACAATTCAACTTGTCTAATGCAACAATTCTGCTTGTATAATGCAACAATTCTGCTTGTATAATGCAACAATTCTGCTTGTATAATGCAATGGACAATGGTGGTTTTTCCTGTCTTGAAAGATGTTCAAAACTGAGTAGTGGTTGAGATGCAAAATACTAGCAACAATAAGGTGAAATATACTACCAAACACTTGTTCCTTACACAACCACATGTTCCTACAATACAATATATAATCCGAATGGATCAACTACCAACTGTTCCATACACTGCAAATATAATCCGAATTTTGAGTCAAGCATTTGTTAATCACACAGCCTAATTTAGGTCCCCAATACATATCATGAGTACAGTTCAAGCCATCCTAACTGGAAGTTGACAAAATGGGGTTGACAAAAGGTTAATCGACACTCTGGCACATCTACGGTTGAGTGACTGGTGGCTGGCTCCCCTGGGCATCCACAACAGCTTGCTGACTGTTCCCTTGAGGACGCCCACTAGCTCCATTGAGCTGTCAAAAGAAAAACCAGCAACAATAAATTGTTAACATTCAGCCTGGAAAAAAACCTTGTTTGTAATTAGGATTCATCTTACCCTAACATATTGGTTTCCAGTATCCTCGTTCACATAAACACCCACACCTGCTGTTGCAATTCTCATTTCACGCTGAATAGTTCTTCTATCATCAACATTCAGCCTAATTGCCTAAGGAATACAACAATATAAGATTTCAGCATAACTTATCACACAACCACATCCACATTCACATTCACATTCATACTCTTAACATTTGCTATTTAATTCTGCACATGATTACCTGAATTCCAGTTCCGTGATTGAGGGGACAGGTTCGAACATTGTGAGAGATCGAACCACACTTAGAGCAATGACTTGTCCTTGTTCTTTTACCAGTGGTTTCCATCCTTCCCAACAGCAGTCAACAACATCCCCTTCACCTCTCCCTTTAAAAAGCAACCGTCCAAGCCAAACATTGGCCGACATCCATCCACAAACCCATCCCTCAAGCATGAAAACCCTATATAAAGCCTCTGGAAATACACTTTGTCCTCAGATGAATGAGGTTGAACCTCCAAGACAAACCTCCCATGTCGATCCCTCTTCATCATTTCAGCAACGTAGCTCCTGATTTCCTTAAACTCCTCCTTCAACGACCCACTAAGCATTCGAATTGCAGCAACCTTTGCTCTATAACACTTCCTCTTGTCCACTTCCATGTTATATTTTAGTTTCACCTCTGCCATTATCTGGTCTGGAGCCCACTGTGGATTGATGCGAAACCTCTCAAGCATGTCAGATGCAATCCATTCTGCAGTAACTTGATTCACCCGCATTTTACGTGAACAAGAATGGTGCAGCCCTACCTTCCTCACCATGAAAGACTGGTCCTTCCTAAACCAACTAGCCACCACCCTCCACTTGCATCTTGTGTCCTTGCATTTCACTTCTTTTCTTGATGGTGTGCTCCTGACCCATCTCAAGCTAGCACCAGCAACAACAGAATGTAAGACTACCGCGTTCTTGAACTGTTCTGGACTTTCAAACTTCAACCTTGGAATGAACTGAAACTTCTTGTGATCACAGTCTGGATCGTAGTGTGGAGCATCTCCAAATGGCTCTCCACCATCCTCGTCCGAAAGGTTGCCCCTAACATGATCAGATTCCTCTGACAGTCTGTAGCTAGAGTGGTGAGACTCTTCTCTTCTAGGTTCTTGAACTGGAGGTGCACCATTATCTTCGACTACACCATCATCTTCAACTGCTTGCTCGGGTGCACCATCATTTACTGCTGCCTGATCAGGTTCTTCAGGATCATCTCCAATGCCCTCTTCATGGTCTTCATCTTCTGTTCCATTGTCAGAAGCTTCTTCTTCATACTCGGATAGTTGTTCAACCTCCTCCCCATTACCATATCTCCTTGCCTTCACCTTCCTCCTTCTCATTTCCCCATAGGCGCGTAAATTGGCCCGAGCCTCATGGTACTCATCATCAGAAGTTTCTGCATCGTCAGAATCATAAATATGGAACACATCTCGTGCCACAGATGCAGCTTCATCTTCACGAGCAACGTTGCCAAAGCTAGCATTCTCTGATCCTACGTGGTTTGGATCATTCTCGCCACCTTGCTCCTCGTATGAATCAGCCATCTAAACCCAAAACAAGAGAAAGAATTAATTAAGTAATTAGCAACCCTAATCAAGAATTATTAATTCACTAACAAACAAACAATAGCACAGCCTTCCACCATTATTCTATTCTAGGGTTTTTGACAAAAAAATATATCAATGACTCTTCTACCCAGGATTTGGAGGCACTCACCGTCGGATTCAAGGGCAATCTCGCGAAAAACACAGATTCAATGCAAAGTGGTCCCTTTTGGAATCAGTAATGTCGCTTTCCTTCTTCTTTACAGCGACCCACAACTACAAAAAGACACAAGAAAAGGAGGCCTATAAGTACATACCACCCAGAATCGAGACCACCAACCAACCTCTCCGTGAAAATCTAACGAATCGCAGCAGAATGTGAAATTAGGGTTTTCCAGAAGTAGCGAGAAAAAACTTACCTATGCTTCGTCGATGCGTTGTACAGTGATAGGATGCTTGGGTTGCGTCGGGAAACGGTGGTCGCCGGTGGATTAGTCAGGATGCATGTGGTTCGCCATTGGAAGGGAGAGTGAAGGGGATGATAAAAGCTGTGGTTTTCGAAGTTAGGGATTCGGGTTTATTGCCGATTGGGGCGATGAACGGAAGGAGGAAGGGGTTATAGGAGGAAGATCGGAAAAGGTAGAAGGAATCCACCGGCGGGTTGTCGTGGGTTATCGGGGGGGGGGGGGGGGGGGGGGGGGGTTGTCGGTGGTTATTGGGGGTTGTCGTGGTCGGAAGAAGAAAGGTTAAGGGGGAAAGAAAAAAAAAACTGAAGGGATAAGGTTGAGTCGCGACAGGTGGCGGTCAGCTGATCAGTTTAATTTTTTTTTTTTAAGTCTGATTGCCACGTCGGAAAGTGGGGTAACTCAGTTGCCAACTCAGCGCAAACCGTTAGTACAGTCACTCCGTCTGCTAACACCGTTACCAAAATGGACGGAATTGGCTATTTTTGGTTTTCGAATAGAAATGGCTATATTTGTCAAAGGTGTGAAAGTTATGGCTATACAGGTGTATTTTGCCAAAATTTAGAAGGAGTCTGAATAAAAGATCAGAAAAATAGAAAATAAAACCATGCATGTCACGATTTACCCCAGATCGAGAGTCTTCCGGCCATTTGAGTGAACGGCGGCGGCATCCCGCCTATTGTTGTTGTCGGCGGCGAGACCCGATGCCCGTCTCCTCTTCCGCTCCCACGAATCAAAAACTAAAAAAAAACATCAGAAATCTTTCGATTTTCACGAAAAATCGAAAAATACAACCTGCAAGGATAGTATCTTACTCAAATCTATCATTTTCAATTCGGTGAGCGGGGTCGCTTCTCGCGTTCATCAAATCGAGAGGGAGAGAGCCGAGAGAGGAGAGCGGCGGCAGTTTTGAGCGAGGTTAGGGTTTGTTTCTCTGGAGAGATGAGGAGAGAACGAAAAAAAACGAGGGAGAGGGGGTGAGCGGCGGCCGCTAGGTCAATTAGAATAGGGTTTGATTTTTGTGTTGTAAGAGACTCTATATACCTCAAGTTTTAAAATGACCAAAATACCCCTAGGGTTTCCGGCTACTTACGCGTCCCTGCCACCGTGTTTTCGTGAAAGTACTAGAATGCCCTTCGCCCTTTCCTACATCAAAACGAGAAATAAGAAAAACCTCCTCCAGCGCGCTTCGAACCCACGACCTCCGCGTCAAACGCGAGCCTGGTCTGGGGTTTTAGCCAATTGGGCTGCCAACCCATCATGCATTAACATAATCATCTCATTTACTTTTATTTGTTTTAAAATCCTTAATACGAAATGTGAAATGCGGATTAAGTTTGTCTCATTTCTTTTTATAATACACCAAGATACATCCTAATAATTAAAATCCTGATAATAATCAATCTAAATTTTAACAATAAAATTCTATTACGAGAATTACGTTCAGTGGAACGTGGTAAAGCTACAATTAAATTATCAAAGACCAAACGAACTACGTGGACTTTGATCCCGTGATACGGGTACGTAGGCAACCGATAAGGTTCTAGTCCAACTAACCAATTAACTTTATTTTTTACGTCAGTGGGCGCACAATTAAATTACAATTAATACGATTTAATTTCTTTAGTGGTCTGGTAAGACCCTAAAAATACCTAAAATAACCTAATAATAAACTAATACGATAAAATCATTAAATGGTCCAGTGGGACCCTAAAATTACAAAATTATTACTAAAATACACCCAACTCGCATAAAAACTTATCGGCCTAAGTAGTACCGATTTAGGGCGTTGTGGGGGTGTTGCTTAACTTCCCCACACGTAACCGTACTCCCGAACCCAGAACTTTATTTTCGCAGACCAAGCCCCGGTTCTGACCTAAGGTTAGAGCCGACCGAAGAGTGTTCGATCCACTCCAAGTAAGATCGATGGCGACTCCCAAAAAAATGCCGACGCGACGACATTCGGACCCCCGGAGGGACGGTTGGCGACTCCGCTGGGGAGCTCGAGAGTTGAGCTACATAACTAAGTTCGATAAGTTTTCTAATTTTCTATTACGTGTTGGGTGTTTACTTTACTATTTGCGCAATTATTTTATGCAATCATGCTGAAAGCTCTATACCCGAGCTATCCTATTAGAAACGGAAAAGGAGTACCGTGACTTTCACAGTAGTGGAAACCACGCAAAACTTTCCAACCAAGTTGAACTCAGATCCGAGGTTGATCTTGAGGTATCCAGCCAGTTTCGTAAGGGCTATGGAAGGATACAACTTGGGAGCCAAATCCTTAGAAATTCCTCTGCTAGCATATAGTAAACATAGCAACCACCTTCAGCCATCCAAAAAAAGATCCCCAAAGCCACCCTAAAACCATGTCGTTACTCCGCCTAAAATCCCCAGATCTTCCTAAATAGGGTAATGCTGTAATGATATGTGTATGCTTGCTTACTATTTAATGCTATCTGTTTTATCTTTTAATCGTAAAATTATGTGATTGTATGAATGAAAAGTGTTTTCGAAACTCATTAACATCATTTTCTCATAAAATTTTCTTTAACTCTTTCATAACTGATTATAAAAAGATTTAAGAAAAATCTCATGCATCCCAAAAATCATTTTTGCATTCATACATCATTGCCATTCTGCACAAGTATCATGCATGCACCTTCATTCAAAAATATGGAAAGAATTTAACAATGCCAAGAAACTAGGTTTTTTTAAAATTGCTCTTCCACAAAGAAAAAGTCAAATCCTTAAGTACTCGACAAGATCCAAGACTCAGCTCGTCATGGAGGCATTTCAGAAGGATTTAGATGACATCAAGAGAAGAGTAATTGGGCTTGAAGAAATGAAAGAGGATGTTAGCACAATTTTGAGGATTTTGACAAAAATTGAGAGGACAATGGAAGCGAAAAGTGGAGATGCGCCATTCGGCGAAGAAATTTTATACCAACCACACGAAAATCATTAAATGGTCCAGTGGGACCCTAAAATTACAAAATTATTACTAAAATACACTCAACTCGCATAAAAACTTATCGGCCTAAGTAGTACCGATTTAGGGCGTTGTGGGGGTGTTGCTTAACTTCCCCACACGTAACCGTACTCCCGAACCCAGAACTTTATTTTCGCAGACCAAGCCCCGGTTCTGACCTAAGGTTAGAGCCGACCGAAGAGTGTTTGATCCACTCCAAGTAAGATCGATGGCGACTCCCAAAAAAATGCCGACGCGACGACATTCGGACCCCCGGAGGGACGGTTGCGACATGGACATTATCAAGGCAACTTGGTAGAAA